CCTGACTCCAGACCTGGAACCATCCATGTCTAGAGAAAGCCATTTGGAGGATGTGTGTAGCATGTGCACATTGGTAGATGGGACTGATAGAGGTGAATAGAGGAAACAGACTTCTCCAGGAGCGGAACTGTTCTTTAATCAGAGCCACTGAAGGACCACAGTTTCCAGGGAGTAGAGACTGTCAGCACGTAGCATAGGGGGTTGAGGTTTTATAGAGCAGAAAAGGGGGCTTTGGGGATAAAAGATCCCATCTGTAGGTTACTTTCCCTGCAGTCTCAAAGTGGTAGATACTTCTCAGAGAGGTACACAGAACTTCTTATCAGAAGTGTCTGGAATCCTAAAACAGCCCACAGGTGTCATTGCGCAACTTCCTGTCCAGCTTCTCTGTCCACCTGTGGCTGTGAGGTCATAACCAGCCACTATTTCCTTCAGGAGGAAGTCAAGGAGCCCAGTGTTGGTGGGGAAGGATAGGAAGGAACTAGTCTTTTAAATTATTTCTTCTAATTTTTAAATTACACTTTTGGTGTGTGTGTGTGTGTGTGTGTGTGTGTGTGTGTGTGTGTGTGTGTGTGTACACACATAGGTAGGTACCATGACACATCTGTGGATGTCAGAGGACAACTTGGCTAAATCGGCAATCCCCTGCCAGCTTGTGGATCCTAGGGTCCAGACTCAGGGCCTCAGGACTGGCCCAAAGCACCTGCTGTATTCTCTCTCATTTCCCACCTCTTTCCTTCCCTGTCCCTCTCTCTCACAGGCAGCATTAAATCACCAATTAACATTTATTTAGAACTTAATACTATGAACTAGGCCTCAGTTTAGGAACTGTATTTTCTTTTAAAACAATTTTTGAAATGTAGTCTTTATCCACATTCCTTTCTACTGTCCCATTCCAACTCAGAACTCTTCCTTCCAAATAACACATCTCCCCCTCCTACTTTCAAGTCTTTAAATGTTTTAAAATAACCCACTGAGTGTAATTGGGCCTCTTGCATGTGAATGGGTGTAGGGTTACTCCCTGCAGGGAAAGCAGCTTCCTTTCCCAAGCCTCTCCTTTTTCTGTTTCTTCTGTGGTCCAGGCCACCCACCAGCATCCTCATTCCATCCCCCAAGGTAACTTGTCATCTCTGTGGGTCTGACCTGGGCACCAAGGACCTTTAGAGGTGGATGCAGGGCTGCTTGTGCAGCTGTGCTGGCACCAAGAAGGCTCCAGAGGCCTAAGGTCGCCTCTAGAGTACCAAGCGAGGCCCAGAGAGCATCCTGCTCCGGGATCTCCAGAGAGTTTTGTGAGGAATTTCTGGAGAGTGCAAGGATAAAGATAGGGCTCAGCCTTCAACTTGCCCACCCCCTTACGGAAACTAGAATGTGAGTTAGAGTGTACCAGCATCTCCTCTGCCACGTAGCTGCCCCTGCTGGCATCAGCAGGGGTCAGTGAGTGACTTCCAGGCCGCCTTCTGGCAAGAGCTGAAGCAAGAGGGGTGCGGGCAGAGGCAAGGAGACTGTTGGGAGTGAACTTTGCACACAATAGAAAGGAGATCCACCTACAGGTGTGGCTCCTCATTCCAGGATCCTGCGCCCTGGACAACCTTGGGCTTCCCTTTACGGGTGGTAACGTGACAGCTGCGCTAGAGAGTTTTAGCTGTGTTGCGCCCAGAGTGTGTGTGCTTATGTGCAGGGCCAAGTGTGTAGGGGGCCTGGCACTGTGTGGGTGTGTGTGTCTCGGCGGGCAAGATCTTGCTGTTTGTGTAAGAGCTCGTGTTTGAAAGTAGCTCATGTATTCATGCAAGTCCTGTGCGTGCACTGAGTTCACAGTCTCCATTTTGTGGGAAGTGGGTGCAGGTGTGAGGTGGGGAGAGGGTGCCCTGCTGCCAAGGCTGCACAAATCTGAAAAGTGCTTCTGGACAGTCCTCCCACTGCGACCACCCACCAAGGCTGAATCCAGGGGCTGCCCTCTTTTCTCTATCTCTGTCTACCCCCTCCCCCGTTCTCTTTCCATCTGCCGCCCACCACCTCTCCAGACTCTCACTATGTAGTTCAGAAAGGGCTTGAACTCCCTGTCCCCCTACCTCCACCCTCCCATGCCCAGTATGATTTCAAGTATAAGCCAGTATAATTCCAGATTCTCACTTTGCGTTTTTAAAAGGTGAGGTAAAAGCCAGAGGATGTACAGCTCACCTTTCCAAATACAACAGCCCCAAGGTATATACTGTACTCACTTTGTCAAAACCTTTTCATCACCCCTGAGGTACCAGCAAGTCACTTCCCCTTCCTGTCCCTCTGTGGACCGCCTGCTTCCTACCTCTGTGGACTGCCTGCCTGTGAAGGACATTTCCTAGGGACAGAGCCAGGACTCACGCGGCCTCTGTTCTGCGCGCCCACTTAACATCAGCTTGACCATGTTGGGCCACGTATCCTATTCTCCTGATTCTGTGTTCTATAAGTCATTCTCTTACTGTAGAATGAAGTAAGCAAGCATTTTAATCAGCACTCACAATGATATAAAACTAGAGCAGTTATTAGTTCCAAGACCTTTTTACTAATACAAAAGAAAATGTCATATTCAAAACAAAGAGAGCCATAAAACAACAGAAATCTTAAGAAATTAACTTCTGGCACTCTGAAGTCCACCAGCAGTCACTCCCATTCTGCTTTACCCATTTCCTGACACTGAGCTGCCTTCTCTCCCTCTGGACTTACCTGGTGAGAACATCCCAAACAAATACAGCACACACTATTGCTCCTCCCTGTCTGGCTTCTTTCACTCCATGCCTCGTTTTCTAGGCTCCTCACATTGCTGCGAGACCTGTACTGTATTTGAACTACATTGTTCAGATGCACCACCTTTTTTTTTTTTTTAATTGAGCTATACATTTTTCCCCACTCCCTTTTCTGCCTCCCCTCTCCCCTTTCACCCTTCCCTCTCCCCCACCCCACCGCGCCCCCATGCTCCCAATTCACTCAGGAGATCTAGTCTTTTCCCCTTCCTAGGCAGATCATCCATGTATGTCTCTCTTAGGGGCCTCTTTGTTACCTAGATCCTCTGGGGTTGTGGACTATAGGCTGGTTGTCCTTTGCTTTATGTCTAATATCCACTTAAGAATGAGTACTTACTATATTTGTCTTTCTGTGTCTGGGTTACCGACTCAGGATGGCCTTTTCTAGTTCAGTTCACTTGTCTGTAAGTTTCAAGATGTCATTGAAATTTTCCTTATCCATTCTTCAATAGGTCATTTCCAGGTTCTACCTATTATAAATAATGTTGCTATGAACATAGCCGAACAGATGTCCTTGTGGTATGAGTGTACATCCTCTGGGTATGTGCCCAAGAATGTTATTGCTGGGTCTTGAGGTAGATTGATTCCCAATTTTCTGAGAAACTGACATACTGATTTCCAAAGTGGCTGTACAACTTTGCATTCCTACTGGCAATGGAGGAGTGTTCCCCTTACTTCACATCCTCTCCAGCATAAGCTGCCATCAGAGTTTTTTTTTTTTTTTTTTTTTTTTTTTTTAATCTTGGCCATTCTGACAGGTATATAAGGTGGAATGTCAGTATTGCTTTGATTTGCATTTCTCTGATGACTTAAGGATGTTGAGCATTTCCTTATGTGTCTTTTGGCCATTTGAAACTCCTCTGTTGAGAGTTCTCTGTTTAGATCTGTACCCCATTTTTAACTGGATTATTTGGTCTTTTGATGTCTAGATTCATGAGTTCTTTGTACATTTTGGAGATCAGGCCTCTGTCAGATGTGGAGTTGGTAAAGATCTTTTCCCTCAGATGGGTCCCTTTTTTAACCCGTTCACCACCTGCTTCATTTTGCAATTTAAAATAACTGCTTTTTGCATCAGGACTGTCTGCAACATGGAGAACCAGCAGGGGAAGCACCACAGTGGACAGCAAGGATCCTGTTAGGACACAGAGAGGAGAGCCCTGCCCCCTGGGAACTGGGGCAGATGCGACCTGCTGTCCCTCAGGGACAGCGAAGCGAGAACCACAGCTGCTAGCACCCTTCTGTTCTGCACCAAGCAGGTTGGTGATGGAAGGATTCTGGTAGGGATCAGGGAGAGGGAGGAGAGGCAAAGACTAGCTTGGCTGTCAGGGTGCTGGTGGACATCTATGAGAGCAATCAGGAGTTCCAAGTTTGCTAGGGCTAGATGCCAAATTCCAGGTCTACATGTGACTCTGTCCCCAGGACATGACGAAACAGAAGTCCCAAACAATGAGGGAATGGTACTGGCCAGAAGCCAGAGGCTCAGCTAGTATCAGGGTCCAGTTCCATGGTGCTGCTGTCCCCAGGGACAGCTCATGAGTCTCACAACACACCACAGCTCATTCCCTAGTGCTCATCACCTCAGTTACACAGCCCACAACAGGGCTGCACACAGACTATTGCTCACTGCCATGCATCTCAGAGATGGGAGCAGACAGACCTGTCACACAGCTAATGTCATGGTGCAGTTAAGCAGAGCCTGTAAGCCCTTTCCAGGTCTCAGAGAAGGGGTTACCTCCCCTTCAGAAGGAGCTGGCCCTTAGTCCTTGAAGGAGTTGAATGTGTGATAATAGGGAGAAGATTGGAGAGCCTGATATGTGTGAAGGCAAAAAAAAAAAAAAAAAACACGGGGGGGGGGGTGGAGAGGTGTGGGACTGATAATAGTAATACCAGTAACAATAGAACAATAATAATCATCCATATTAATTGTTTATTAAATTCTCAGTGTGCAAGGATCTGCACTGATCACTTAAGATGTATGATGTTATTTAAACCTCAAGTATTATTTATTTTATTTTACAGGGCCTTGCTATATAGCCTAGGCTACCCTTGAACTTACTGCCTCTACCTCCCAGGTTCTGAGAGTATAGACATGTACATGCAGCAACCCATCCTTTTAACTGATCACTTGAACAGATATATTACATTCTCCAGGAAGCCTGCCCAGACAGTGCTCAGGGACAACATGCTTATAATCATCTGGTTTAATTCCTACTCTATCAGGTGCAACCAAGATGCTAGGACCAAACTACACTTCAGTGTCTGAATTCATCTTCATTGGCTTCTCCAACTTCCCAGAGCAGCTCATGCCTGTCTTCTTTGTGGTGATCCTACTAATGTACCTCTTCACACTTCTGGGCAATCTACTCATCATGGCCACCATCTGGAGTGAACGAAGTCTCCACACACCCATGTACCTCTTCCTGTGTGCTCTCTCCATCTCTGAAATCCTCTATACCTTGTCTTTCATCCCACGCATGCTGGCTGATCTGCTCTCTACCCATCACTCCATCACCTTCCTGGCTTGTGCCAACCAGATGTTCTTCTCCTTCATGTTTGGCTTCACCCACTCCTTGCTGCTCACCATCATGGGCTATGACCGCTATGTGGCAATCTGTCACCCACTACACTACAATGTGCTTATGAGCCCCCGGGGATGTGCCTTCTGGGTGGCTGGGTCCTGGGCTGGGGGCTCAGCTGTTGGGCTGGTAGTGACAACCTCCATTTTCCACCTCCCTTTCTGTGGACCCAATCAGATCCAACATTTTTTATGTCATGTGCCCCCTATGTTGAAGCTGGCCTGTGGAAGTGATGTGCCAGCTGTGGCCCTGGGTGTAGGTCTGGTGTGCATCACAGCTCTCCTGGGATGCTTTCTGCTTATCCTCCTCTCCTATGCCTTCATCGTGGCTGCCATCTTGAAGATTCCATCAGCTGAGGGTCGGCACAAGGCTTTTTCCACCTGTGCATCCCACCTCACAGTGGTGATTGTGCACTATGGCTTTGCCTCTGTCATCTACCTCAAGCCCAAGGGCCCGCACTTTGAGGAAGGTGATACTCTCATGGCCACCACCTACACGGTCCTCACCCCCTTCCTCAGCCCCATCATCTTCAGTCTCAGGAACAAGGAGCTAAAGAATGCCATGAAGAAGGCCTTCCTCACAAAAGTCTGTCCCTCAAACACCTGAGTGGTCAGTATGGAATGATTGGCAGACACAGAACATCACTTCATAAATCCCCAGTGAATGTATAGAACTTCTCATTAAGTGTTTACTGGGATGTAAGATGTTCGTTGGGATATATTCAGATACTGTGTAGTCTACCCATCACAGTGCACATTTTAACAGCTTTAATATGTTTGGAACTAGAAAATCAGCAATTAATTTTAGGAAAATGTTCATCACTTAAAAAGAAAATCAGGATGGAGAGATAGCCCAATGGCTAAGAGTACTTGCTACCCTTCCAGAGTACCCAAGTTACATTCCCACTATCAAATGGCCCACAAGAACCTGGTATTCCAGACTCTTCTGACCTCAGACACTGGCATGCACACACACTCATATAGGCACACATGCATACATGTAAGGATAAATAAAAATAAAAAGGAAATATTTTTAAAAGAAAGACAATTATATTGTTAACAATTGTTTCTCAGTTCTTTTTTATGTGTATGTTCATTTGTTTTGTGTGTGGGGATGTACATGCATATGTATGACTACCTGTGAGAGCCAATGGTTAAAAAGGTATATAGTCCCACATGGAAGTACATGCCTTTACCCCCAGTATTCAGGATCCAGACGCAGATGATGTCTGTGAGTTTGAGGCCAGCTGGGTATACAGAGTGAGTCCAGGACAGCCAGAGCTGTTACACAGATAAACCCTTTCTTGAACACCTTCTCCCACCCCACAAAAAGCCTAAACTCAAACAAAACAAAACTGAGTATCTACGTCAATCTGACTTCACCTTATTTTAAACAATAACAAAGAAAAATTTGCTATTATTGTTCTTGAGATAAGATCTTTCTGATATGTACTTCTAGCTGCCCTGGAACTCGCTATGTAAACCAGGCTGGCCTCAAACTCATAGAGATCTGTCCACCTCTGCCTCCCAAGTGCTAGAATTAAAGGCTTGTGTCACCATGCCTGGCTTAAACAAAAATTTTAACTTAAAATTCAATATTAAATGTTTTTGCGTGTGTCCATGTGAAAGTCAAGGGACAAGTTACCAGAGTCTACTCTCTCCTCCTGCCTTTGGGCTCAGGGATCAAACTCAGGAGGTCATCAGGCTTAGTCGACATATTATTACTTTCTCAGACATTTTTTTTTGGTCACCACATCTTATTTAGAGATGGAAGTGGCTTTCTGGTGGTGCCTGGAGATCATCAGATCAGCCAGGCTGTGTGCCGGCAAACTCCTGCAGTTCACACATCTCTGTCCATATGCAGTTATATATTGCTTAAAAATGCAAAGTTAGCCATAGCCATAGAGGCCAGACAGTGGTGGTACTCAACTTTAGTCTCAGGATTTGGGAGACAGAGGCAGACAGATCTCTGTTAGTTCAAGGCCACCCTGAGCTACATGAAATTGATCCATTCTGAAAGAGAAGCTGCTCACACAAAGGTGATCTCAGCACTTGGGATCACACACCTTTAATCCCAGCACTAGGGAGGTGGAGACAAGAGTGATATGCCTGGGCAGAGAAAGGAGTATACGATGGGAGGAGACAGGAACTGTGAAGGCTGCAATCTGAGATTTGGTGGAGAGCATTCAGTCTGAGGTTTTGTAGAGACAGCATTGTACTCGGAAGATCTAGGGAGACAGGATCACCCATCTCGGTCTAAAATAGAGGTAAGAGCTAGTGGCTGGTTGCTTTGCTTCTCTGATCCTCAGCTTGAAGATCAATATCTGTCTCTGGGTTTTTATTATTCATGTTACACCCACCCACAGCACTGGGGTTGCAATAGAGCACCACTGCACCCAGCTTTTCACATGGGTGCTTGTACAATAATTACTTCACTGACGGATCCATCTCTCCAAATCCCCATTTTTCTCCACTCTCTATTCTTTCCAACCCCCCTTACCCTCCAGTTGTACATACCAAGAACCCAGTCTCTCTATAAATTCCTCAGGCATTTCACACATGTGAGGCCATAGGAGGAGCCACAGTCTTCAACCTGCTTGTTTCTCCAGCATACTATCGAGATTCCCCCATGTTGGTTCTCCGGCTGCCATATTCTGTTGCACTGTTATAATACATTTTATTCATCTATCAACTAGGGACAAGCATTTCAGCATTTCTAAACTTTTTGCTGTGTACAGCTATGTGCAAGTTTTCATTTTTTTCTCAGATGTTTTCCTTTTTCTTGTATGTATGTCTAGAAGTGGGATTGTGTCCCATGCTGTGCTAATGGTTTAGGAACTCCTAGACTATTTCCAAAGTGTCTGCACCACCTCCACATTTAGCCAGCAAAGTCAGGGGCTTCAGTTGCTCCAGGTTTCAGGTGGGGGCAGGTGCACAGTGGGGCACAGCAGGTAGCCTGTCAGTTCTCTGTAACAGCACTGACAGAGATGGTTGAGAGTGTAGATGTGTGTAGTCTGTCTCTCTCCCTCTCCCTCCTTCCTCCTCTTTTTATCACACTCCCAATATCTTCCCCTTCTAATATCTCCCCACCTAACAGGAGGTAAGAGTCCCCACCTAACATGGTTTTCTCCCCTCACTCCAGGCTCAGAATCCAAAGAGCCAAGGACTATGAATTGAAAACTTTGTAGCCAATCAAAAATCAATCTCTCCTCCTTTTAAGTTGTTCTGCCAGGACACAGTTAGCACTTTGCCCTTTGTGGACAAAGCAGAATTTCTCTTAAATCTTGGAAGTGTGTGTGTGTGTGTGTGTGTGTGTGTGTGTGTGTGTGTGTGTGTGTGTGTGTGTTGGAGGGGGAACCAGGGTACCAGCATGTGAACTCAGGGCTCTTTCAGCTGGCTGAGAGCAAAGCAGTGCATTAACTACCCTTTGAACAGTATCAAGAGACCACTTCTATTTCTTTTTATTTTCTTTATTTAAAACTTTTTAAAATAATGCCTTAATGGCTCATGCCTTTAATCCTAGCAGGCAGAGGCAGAGAAGTCTCTGTGAGTTTAAGGTCTGGTCTACATAGGGAGTTCCAGGCCAGTCAAAACTATACATTAACACACACACACTCACACTCAGGAGATGGTGATGAATGCCTTTAATCCCACCACTAGGGAGGCAGAGGCAGGCTGATATCTGTGAGTTTGAGACCAGCCTGATCTAACAGAGCTAGGTCCAGGACAGGCTTCAAAGCTACACCCTGTTTCAAGCATACATGGTTCCCCAGAGAAGGAGAAAGGGACAAAAATCTCTGGAGCAAATTAGGAGCATGGGGGTGGGAGGGGAGAAGGAGTTAGAAGAAAGAGAAGGGGAGAAGAGGAGGGGAGAGGAGGACATGAGGGAGCAGGAAGATTGAGTCAGGGAAAGAATAGAGGAGAGCAAGAAAAGAGATACCATAATAGAGGGAGCCATTAACGTTTGAAGAGAAATCTGGCACTATGGAAAAGTTCAGAGATCTACAAAGATGACCCCAACTAACAATCTAAATAATAGTGGAAGGGCTACCTTAAATGCCCTTCTCCAATAATGAGATCAATGATTTCGTTACATTCCATCCTAGAGCTTTCATCCAGTAGCTGATGGAAGCAGAAGCAGACACCCACATCTAAACACTGAGCTGAACTCCTAGAATCCAGTTGCAGAGAGGGAGAAGTGATGAGCAAAGGGGGTCAAGATCAGGCTGGAGAAACCCACAACAACAACTGGCCTGAACAAGGGGGAGCTCATGGACCCCAGTCTGGTAGCTGGGAAACCAGCATAGGAACTACCCAGACCCTCTGAACATGGGTGTTAGTTAGGAGGACTGGGCAGTCTATGGGGCCTCTGGTAGTGGATCAGTATACCCCTAGTATATGAATGGTCTTTGGGAGCCCATTCCACATAGAGGGATACTCCCTCAGTCTAGACACATGGGGGAAGCCCTGGGTCCTGCTCCAAATAATATGACAGACTTTGAAGATTCCCCATGGAAGGCCTCACCCTCCCTGGGGAGCAGAAAGGAGATGGGATGGGGGTTGTGGGGGAACAGGGGAGGAAGGGTGGGTGAGGGAACTGGGATCGACATATAAAACAAGCTTTTTTCAAATTTAAGTTCAAAAAATTATAAAAGAAAGAAAGAAACCATGTCTCACCTCCCCACCTAAAAAAGACACACACATATACACATACACACATGCACACCCTTGGGTGCACACACACACAAACACTCATGAAGAAGCACATGAGCACACCCACACTTGACCTTTGTTTCCGTGATGGCACACAGTAGGCACAAGCAGGTTGACAGAAGGCACTTAGTATGGACTACCTATTAAGTCTGCTCTCTCACACTGAACGGTTTGTCTCCTCCCTCAGAAACCTCTGAGAACAGATGCCCTGTTTCATCTGATGGGACTAAAACCTCTCTGGAACCTTACTGTGTCTGTTAATGACCTTAGTACAGCTCAAAGACAACTATCATCTATGTAAGTATATATCTACATGTATATAGATGTATATACATACCATCTATGTAAGTATGTATCTACATACCTATGTATCTATCATCTATGTATCTATGTGTCTGTCAGTTTGTCTATCTACCTTTGTCTATCATCTATCTATCTATCTATCTATCTATCTATCTATCTATCTATCTACCTTTCTCTATCCCTGTGTTAGGTTTTAGAGAGAAAAGAGAGGAAAGAGACCTGGGATAAGATAAAAAGACATTTCCACTCCTCCAACTTCCCAACCCATTCTCCCTCTGTGACATAACCTACTTTCTCCAGCCAGTCCCCTCCTCCTAAGGTTTCAAGACCTTCCCTGAACTGCAACACCAGGCTTCATTTCATGAGCTTTTTTAGAAAGGAGACTTTATATCCATATCTTCCTTTAGAAAGAAAATGGAAGTAAAACATTTCATTTGAAACTTTTTTGGTGACTTTTCAATGTGTTTACAATACTGAGAAGTGGCTGCGGCCATCAACATCTACCATGGTCTCTTTGGCCTACTGGAATACATGTGACTTGGCTCCCGAAGGTCAGGAGTTCCTGGAAGCTCGCATTCCCCTTGGAAACAG